TATTGCTGTAGCTGAAGCTCCAATATTCTGGCCACCTGATGTAAAGAAGTGACTCATTTGAAAAGACCCTGATACTGGGAAAGATTGAAGGCAGGAGGATGAAATGGTTGGATAGCATCACCAACTCGATGGATGAGTTTAGTTTGAGCAGGATCCGGGAGTTGGTGATGGACAGGGAAGCCTGGCGTGCTGCAGTCCACGGGGTTGAAAAGAGTCAGACACAACTGAGTGACTGAACTGAAGTGAACTGAGGAGGGGAGGGAGGGTGGGGAATCATGTCTGGAGAAAAGGCCCCTTGGCTTGGATTCCTAAGTGGCTAGGACGAGTGGAGTCCCTCCTGCCCCGTCCTGGGACGTGAGCAAGAAATAAGCCTTGGGTGTGTAAGCCACTGAGATTTGGGTATTGACAGCCAAACCTAGCCTGTCCTGACTGACTTGGTCCCACAGAGTAAGTCACTATGCTCCAAGCCAGCAACAGCCCAGCGTCCTCTAAGCCTTCTCTAAGCTACCTAGCCCCAGTATTTTCAGCTGAGCCTCCTAGGACTCAGTTTGTTGACTTGTCACCTGGTCTTTTCTTCTGCACAGGGTGCAATGTGAGAACGATCCCAGGAGCAATAGGCAAAGCCCATCACCTCTCCCGGCCTCCTCAGCCCTCGGCCTCAGTCTCTCAGTGATTCTACTGAGCTTTTGGCAGGCGAACAAGGCTAGCCTTGTCCCTGGGCTCCATCCTGACCTGCCTGTTTCCAATTCTTTGGTAGTGGTGGCGGTTTAGTCACTAAGTCGTCTCTGACTCTTTGTGACCCCATGGACGGTAGTCCACCAGGCTCCTCTGTCTGGGATTTCCCAAGCAAGAATACTGGGGTGGGTTGCCATTTCCCTCCCCAGGGGATCTTCCTGACATCTCCTGCTTGACAGGCAGATTCTTTATCACTGAGCCACCCAGGAAGACATTGGGCCCTGGCTAAAGACAGAACTTAAGATTTAGAATTAGAGTGACCTGGATTTATATCTTGGCTCTGCTACTAACTTACTGAGTTATGGTGGGCAAGTTATTTAACCTCTCTGAGCCTGTTTTCAAAAAAAAGGATGTAAATGATAAGACTAACCTGAGATAGTTGTATCAGTCAAGCGCCCAGCTCTTCCCTGGAATCTAGTGGGCCTGTACAGATGTTATTTCCCCTCTTTTCCTCCTAAACCCCATGTCTTTCAGGCTCACAAAGTGAGGGGAGGAGAAGGCATTTTTGGAATGAGGCCCCAGGCGGCTCCTATACCATTGCAGTGTTCCCTGAGTCTCAGGCCAGTCGGGGGGCCCCTTCTACCTCCCCTCCCAGGTCACAGCTGTCTGCTCCCTCTACCCCCATCTCAGGGGGCTGCCCCGTGGGGCTGGGAGAGAGGGAAGTGGGCGCCAGGCTGCAGATGTTCAGAGCTCAGAGAAGGCTGCTGAGCTAATCCCAGGGCTGCTGGCGAGACTGGGCCAGCGCCTCAGAAGTGGGCTTCCAAGAGGCCCTCTCCTGCCTGCCGGCGGCCTGTGGCTCGGCTCGAATTTCCGAGGCCCCAGCTCGGGAACAGCTGCATGGCTTCCCCTCCCTGCCTCCGTGTTCTCTCCTCTCTTCTCCCGACATGAGTCAAGGAGACTATTGAGCAGGGCTAGCCAGGGGTCTGGAAAGAATCCAGAAGGCTCCCAGACACTCAGCTCAGGTCTCTGAAACCCCAGGGAGCTCAGACACATGGGGTTTCTCGGGCCTCTCTGCTTGTTTCCTGCGGCTCTTCATTTGGCCAAAAACCTCAGGACTGACTTTGATGTTTGGATTGGTGTCCACCCCTTTGCTCCCTGCCTGGCTGGCCTTCCCAAGACACCTCCCCAGTGTGGCAGGCAGAACCAGACTTCAGGTGGGGCCTCTTGGTTCAGCGGCACCCCCACCTACAAGCCTTCCCAGCCTCATCCTCCCCACCCCCATGTCCCTAAATATCTCCCAGGGTTGAACCTCTGACCTCCCTTTCACACCCCCATCAAAAGCCCCCCACCCTGCCCTCCACCAGCAGAGATGTGTGTGTGTGGGCGCTCACCACCGTTTCCTGAACATTTGGTACATGAAAAGCTTGTTTTCTTTTTTTCCTCAACTATCTTGCTTTTTCCTTTCTGACAAATAAGGAAATGGAAAACCAGAGAGACTAACTTCTTCACAGAAATATGAAGTGGCAAAATTAGGATTTGAACCCGCTTCTGATGTGCTGATGACTTTTGAGCCCATGCCCCCTCTCCACCCAGTCACCTGGCCTGGTCAACACCAGTCCAGTCCTCTGGCCTGGAGCACCCATTGGGGCTGCATGATTCACCTTGACCTGGACCACAAGTGTTCCAGGAGCCGTGGATGTGTGTGCCCTTTCAGCTGAACACATTTGGCCAAGAGTGAGAATGAGGAGAGGATGATAGAGCTGGTGATTTAGGAAGCAGGCGATAGGAGGGCCAAATCTACCACCTTCGGTTGGGTTCCCAGTCTCCAGCTCAATACATGCTCCTTTTCATGCTGGGAGTAATTCTGAGTGAACATAAGTGTACCATTCGGGTGTGACCTTGAAACACAAGCTAGCTACCACTCAGGGATCTGACCCACTCCTGTATCCTCCTGGGCCGGAGAGGCTTGTGTCCATAGGGCCTTATGTAAGGAGGAAGACCAGGAGTGGGGCAGAGGAGAAAATTGTACTGGAGTGTCTGAAGTGGTTTGGGAGGGTGAAAGCCCTGCCACGGCAATGCAAGGGGCTGAGCTGAGGTCTAGCCACCCACGGAAGAGCAGCAATGTAGGGGCACTGGGAACCTCACAGCTCCTCCTCTGTCAAGGGGCATCATTTTCTCATCTGCTCAGTGGGGGTTGGTATACAGTAGGCTCTAGCTAAATGGGGATGGCTGCATTAAGCTTAGTGAATCCCCGGAAGGACGGACTCGGCATGAGGGGGCTTAAGAACCCTCTGCCTGCACTCAGGGCTGGCCTGGAATTGAAGATGGGTTGAATCTCAGTGATAGAAGAGGAGGGTGTATTGGTGGGCCAGTGGTGGGATCTGGAGGCAGTAGAGATTGGGGAAGGAGGGGTGGTGCTGAGATGAATGCATTAACTCAATTTATGAAAATTAAAATTCATGTTACAGAATTTACCACTTTAAAGTCATAATTAAGTGGCATTTAGCACATTCACAATGGTGTGCAACCACCACTTTTATCTAGTTCCAAAACATTTTCATCATCCCTAAAGGAGACCCCTTACTCATTAAGCCATCGCTCCCCAGTCTCCCTTCTGCCCAGCCCCTGGCCACCACCCAGTCTGTTTTCTGTCTCTTGGATTTACCTATTCTGGTTCAGATACATGGACTCAAACAACAGGTGCCCTTTTATGACTGACTTGCACTCAGCGTAATGTTTTCAAGGCTCATCCTTGTTGCTGCATGAATCAGTATTCCATTCTTTTCTCATGACAGAACAACATTCCGTTGGATGGATACACCACATCTTGTTCATTCATCATTCAACTATTCACACTGTTGGTGGATGTTTGCGTTGTTTCCTCCACTGGACCCGTTTTGAGGCGAAAGTCACTGAAAAGCTGAGGTCCCACCATCATCACTCAAACGTTGGAGTGAGCAGCGCTTCAGGCAGAGTCCCCCCATCAAGTCCTTTTCCGCCCAGGCAGCTGTTCCAGTGGCCACAGCGGCGTGCTGGAGCGGCTGCTGGGCAGCGTGCCCTGCGGAGCAGCTGAGTTACTTGGCCTCCATTCAGATCCCCTTACCCAGGGCAGAGGGACAAAAGGATGGGCAGAGAAGGGAAGGTGGAGGAAAGCAAGCTGAGCATGAGTTCCCACGGAGGCCTCTGGAGGCTCCTGGCTCATGAGTAGAGTCCACCGTGTAGGAAGCCTAGCTGTGTCCGAACCTCACTGGAACCCATCTGACCACCATCAGCTGGACGGGGCTTGTCCGAGTGGGGAAACTGAGCCCCAGGCAGTGGCAGTGGCTTGAACAACCTGGAGCCAAACCAGGGATCAAACCTGGATGCTCTGATTCCCAGCCTGGGCGGGCTCTGCCCTCCTGACATCAGCATGGGGCCTGGTGCAGGCTTAGAGGGGCTGGCCCATCTCTCTGATGGGCCTGTTGCTCAACCAGAAGCAGGTAAAGGGTCTGTCTCTTTCTATCATATGTGGAGGACAGAAGAGGAAGGAGAAATCACTGGATCTAGAGCCCTGGGTTCAAGCCACCCTCCAGCAAGCCCCTCCCACCCTCACAGCTTCCCTTCCCCACCCCCGACCTGTAAAGTGGAAACTTTAGCTCCCTGGCAGGTGGCGATGGGGTCCAGATGAGTCCATACATGGGACACGGGTAGCAAGCTATAAAGTCCTATGCCAACTCTTGGTTCACTGTGGCCCCAGCAGGCAAGATCTGGCCGTCCTATCCTGGAAGAAGGGCTGTCCCAAGAGTGTGTTTATCTCACCCGGCTCTGGGCCAATAACGCACTTGATCCAACCTGGCCCCCAGCCGCAGCTCCAGCCCCAGGGAAAGAACAGCATCCCGTCTATATTAATCACCTCCCCCAACTCCGTGCCAGACTTGGGCTAAATTAAATGCATCCCCAGCCAGCAGCTCCGTCCCCAGAAACTGAACACATCCTTCCTGGCTCCCCTCCCACCCACAGCTGTGCCCTCCCATGAGGCCGGTGGCTGGGACCCTGACAGGCCTCCATCCGCAGTCCTGGAGCTGCCCTCTGGCCTCTGGCTGTCCCCAGCAGGACCGAGGACGTTCCCCCACGCCCCTCACCATGGCTTGGCCTAGGGGGGAGGTTGGCATCAAGTCCCTCCCTCCTTCATTCCTTCCTTCCACAAACATTTTGAGTGCCTTCTAAACATCCTGCTTCCCCTCCTCTAAGTACATGAAAGACCAAACACATTCCTGCCCTCCTGGAGCTTACATTCTAGTAAGGGGAGACAAAGAGAAAACAAATCAAGTAAATCATACAAAGTGTTAGAAGGTGAAAAGCACTCTTTTAAAAGACAGACAAAAGAGGCCAGTGTGAGGGGTCAGGGTGCAGGTAGGTGAGCATGAAGGGCGATTTGCCATCTGAAAGAGGAAGGTGGGACAGGCCTCACTAAGAGGATGACTGCCGAGGAGGCCACTGTAGTCCCCACCGGAAAGGTTTATGTTTGTAGAGCACTGGCAGCAGGCGCTAGTTTTGACTGTTCTCAGGGGCGGGGAGGGCAGAGTTCTTGACGTGGCCATTCTGTCCAGCTCGGGGATGGCTCCTCCCGTCCTAGACAGGGAGGGGTTCTCTTGTGGGTGGAAGTCCCAAGGGAGCGGGGCAGCTGGCTTGGCCCAGAGGGCACCTGCAGTTGGGGACGAGCCAGGGTGAAATCTCGGTCTGTGCCAAGATGCCGGCCTGTTCAGAACAGAGGAAGCCCCAGCTGACACCAAAACAGGCCTCAGCTGGGCAAACTGACCAAGTTGGTGGGGACACTGGGGCAGGCCCCTGGGGGCCGTGAGCCACGATACATGTGCTGCTAAGGTGTGAGCCTCCTGTCCTGGCTCCCTCTGTGCCAGACCTGCCATCTGCACATATACACACTCACACACACACACACACACACACACACAGACACTTTTTCTTTCTAGCACACATATGGCATATCACACATCCATCAGCACACATGAGAATGTACCCACAACACTCACTGAACCAGCAGACTCAGAGAGACCCACCATCACATTCACGCACAAGAATATCACAACACCGACACACAATACACATACACAAACAATATATTACACACGCACCAACCATTATGTCACACACATTCACACGCCCATACACCCTCAAGTGAAGACTCAACACACACACAACTCCACACACACATGCTACTCCACACGGGCACACACACACCACACTTCACCAACACACATTATATACCCAGGCACCACCACATACATAACACACACGCCAGACACATCCCACACTTTGTGGTAAAGTACAGGCCTGAAGAGTCTAGACAAGCTATCTGAACCTACCTTTGTCACTCACGGAGATGGGAAACCCATGATGTGTCCCCTGACAACCAGGGCGGGGCAGAGGGAGACCTTCAACATTTTCTAAGTGTTGTTTCATAAAATGTCCGCTAAAGAAGAGTTTTCCTTTCACTATGCAGAGGTCTCTGGGACAAGGAGAAGATCGGGCATAAATTCAAGAAACTGGGCTTTACTCCTAGCCTGGCTGGCTACGAGTTACATGTCATTGGGTAAGTTTCTCTACCCCTGGAAACTTCAGTTTCTTCATCTGCAAAATGAGAATGAAAACTGTTTATTCCAAACTTCTCAGAAGGAGTGAAACTCTGAGAAATTGCTTTGTAAGCTGAAGAAATACCAATACAAAATAGGATTGTCAGAAATTCATACAAATGGTCTAAGCTTTGTTGTTCCCTCATCCCCACCCCCTCACACTTCCTGTCAAGTCCAGGCATTCTACACTCATCCGGGAGGCTTGAGCAGTGGCCCCGGCTGCTTCCAGGGGAAACTTAATGGAGTGACACAGGAAGTGAGATGGTGCTGCACGGTGGGCCATCTCTATCTTCTCAACTCAGGACCCAGCAGGAAGTGATTCTTACCAGCATCACTGCCATCCCATGGGCTGTCAGGGGCTGAGAAGTCACAGCCACGATGGGGAGAACACCCACTGGGGAGGAGACACAGAGCCGCAGTATCCTTCACCCAGCCCCAGCCTGCCCCACCCTACGCAGGGCTGACACTTTGCAGAGAACACTGGAAGGACATTCACACTGGAAGAGGGCTTCTCTGTGCAAGGTAACAGCTGCTGTGAGCCATCACTGGGATGGGGGTGATGGCTAGGCACCATCTTGCTTCTCCTAGGCAAGAAGGGAGGAACTAGGTCCCTGTGGAGTGCTGTAAGAACATGCAACAAGCTCTTGAAGCCTCCTCAAAGAGGGGGACTCTGTCCTTCTCAAAATCCACAAAGGCTGTAATAACTTGGGTGGGCACAGGTCCGCAGCTGGAGCCCCTGCTACTTCGCATCTCTCTCATGTAACAATCCTCAGGGCAGCCGCCCTGTGTCTTCGGGTGCCAGGCTCACTGCAGTTTCTCTGCCCTCATCTTCATGGTCCAAACTGGCCCACTGATGTGTCTGCATTCCAGACAGCAGGATACTATGGGACAGCCTGCAGTCTCTATCACAAAAGGCAAGGAAAGGAGCCCTTATAGTGGTCATTCTCTGTTGTCACCCCTTCCACGTTTTTCTTTCCTTGTCTCTCAGCTCTGTGCTGGGATGACCTCACCCCTGCAAAATTAGTCCTCCTGGCTTTTCAGCCTCTGGCTTCTGGTTGGGTTAATGAGGAAGGGGAAGGGGGATTCTGGACGGTAAAAGGAGAGAGCACTGGGCTATCTCTCCCATGCTCCCCACTCTCTTTTCATCAGCATGTCTCCACCTGCAAGGGTGACCTCCATGATCAGAGTTGCCTCAGGAGACCCCTCCTCCATAGCTTTTGCTCTCAAGGGGCCCAGAATACAATTTTCTCTCCTAATCCTTTCAGCCTGGGGCTTCCCCTCGCTGCTGGTCTCTACAAGCCTCTCGCTTCCCTGTCTGTTCCCCTAACCTGCCCACACTCTATCAGCAGTTTCTTTATTACAGCATCTTCATGGGTACCACCGGGACTGACTCTGTTTCCTGAAGAGACCTTAATGGACCCAGCCCTCAAGGGAAAATGCTGTCTAAACGCCTGGAGCAGATAGAGTATGCTTGACTCCTGCAGTCTAAGCTCTGGGCCATCAGCAATGACTTCCTCCTCTCTCCTTGCAGATTCTGCCTTCTCCTGTATTTCTTTCTAGATGGGCCCTGTGTCTCCACAGACTTAATCTGAACACATAGGTGGAATTTAGCACCTTCCCTCAAAAGAATGCAGTCAGAACTTCCACCTCAGTACCTGAATGAGTTGGCTGAGAACAGAGGGCCCAGGATGAAGAGACTGATTTTCTCAGCCTCCATCAAAAGCTTGGGGGCCTCAGGCTCACCTATCAACATCCCACCTCTTGCAGAAATCACATGAAGAGCCTCTTCGGAGGATGGCGAACCAGTTTCTGCTTGTGCCCTTCTGGTGACAGGGAGCTCAGTGCCTCTTGAAGCAGTCCATTCTATTTCTACATGGCTTGGTCTCAAACTAGTGAGAATCGAAATCTATCTCCACCCAGTTTCTACGCACAGGACACAGTTGTGACTGTTACACAACTATGGTGACTTTGAAGATGTCAGTAATTGTGTCCTCATGAATCTTCTTCTCTCCATGCATCGTGTATCTAACCCAGCCTCCCTGTCACTTTCAAGTGACCTCCTCTCGCCCTCCTTCCCTTCTTTCCTTGATATGAATAGTTTACAGACTATTTCCTGGGGAGATGGAAGAAGAATCCATCTCACCTCACACAGCAGAAACTTAGTAACATTTCCCCGTAAACACTTCGATTTTCCTTTCAAAATTCCTTTATCCTGCTATATCCTGCTGATACTTACCTTTCTTCCCCTCCCCTGTCCCCTTCTCCAAAGTGGTCGTGTCTGTCACCCTGGGACTCAGAATCCCTCCCTAGCCTCCAGGCCTACAGCCTAGTCTGTGAGACTGTACTTTTCTCAGTCACCACCAGAGGTCTCCCTACTTGAGTTTGGTTTGCACCCATCTCAGGCCGCGTGAAAATAACTGAAAAGTGAAAGGCAAAGGAGAAAAGGAAAGATAAACCTATTTGAATGCAGACTTCCAAAGAATAGCAAGGAGAGATAAGAAAGTCTTCCTCAGTGATCAATGCAAAGAAGTAGAGGAAAACAACAGAATGGGAAAGACTAGAGATCTCTTCAAGAAAATTAGAGAGATACCAAGGGAATATTTCATGCAAAGATGGGCATAATAAAGGAAAGAAATGGTATGGACCTAACAGAGGCAGAAGATATTAAGAAGAGGTGGCAAGAATACACAGAAGAACTATACGAAAAAGATCTTCAGGACCCAGATAATCACAATGGTGTGATCACTCACCTAGAGCCAGACATCCTGGAATGCAAAGTCAAGTGGGTCTTAGGAAGCATCACTATGAACAAAGCTAGTGGAGGTGATGGAAGTCCAGTTGAGCTATTTCAAATCCTAAAAGATGATGCTGTGAAAAGTGCTGCAGTCAATATGCCAGCAAATTTGGAAAACTCGGCATTGGCCACAGGACTGGAAAAGGTCAGTTTTCATTCCAAACCCAAAGAAAGGCGATGTCAAAGAATGCTCAAACTACTGCACAATTGCACTCATCTCACATGCTAGCAAAGTGATGCTCAAAATTCTCCAAGCCAGGCTTCAACAGTGCGTGAACCATGAACTTCCAGATGTTCAAGCTGGATTTAGAAAAGGCAGAGGAACCAGAGATCAAATTGCCAACATCCGATGGATCATTGAAAAAGCAAGAGAGTTCCAGAAAAACATCTACCTCTGCTGTATTGACTATGCCAAAGCCTTTGACTGTGTGGAAAATTCTTAAAGAGATGGGAATACCAGACCACCTGACCTGCCTCCTGAGAAATCTGCATGCAGTTCAAGAAGAAACAGTTAGAACTGGACATGGAACAACAGACTAGTTCCAAAGCGGGAAAGGGGTATGTCAAAGCTGTATATTGTCACCCTGCTTATTTAACTTATATGCAGAGTACATCATGAGAAATGTTGGGCTGGATAAAGTACAAGCTGGAATCAAGATTGTTGGGAGAAATATCAATAACCTCAGATATGCAGATGACACCACACTTATGGCAGAAAGTGAAGAGGAACTAAAGAGCCTCTTGATGAAAGTGAAAGAGAGAGTGAAAATGCTGGCTTAAAACTCAACATTCAGAAAACTAAGATCATGGCATCTGGTCCCATCACTTCATGGCAAATAGATGGGGAAACAATCAAAACCATGACAGACTATTTTTTCTGGCTCCAAAATCACTGCAGATGGTGACTGCAGCCATGAAATTAAAAGAAGCTTGCTCCTTGGAAGAAAAGTTATGACAATCTAGAGAGCATATTAAAAAACAGAGACATTACTTTGCCAACAAAGATCCATCTAGTCAAAGCTTTGGTTTTTCCAGTAGTCATGTACAGATGTGAGAGTTGGACTATAAAGAAAGCTGAGCACCAAAGAATTGATGCTCTTGAACTGTGGTGTTGGAGAAGACCCTTGAGAGTCCCTTGGACTGCAAGGAGATCCAACCAGTCCATCCTAAAGGAGATCAGTCCTGGGTGTTCATTGGAAGGACTGATTTTGAAGCTGAAACTCCAATATTCTGGCCACCTGATGTGAAGAAGTGACTCATTTGAAAAGACCCTGATGCTGGGAAAGATTGAGGGCAGGAGGAGAAGGGGACAACAGAGGATGAGATGGTTGGATGGCATCACCAACTCAATGAACATGAGTTTGAGTAAGCTCCAGGAGCTGGTGATGGACAGGGAAGCCTGGTGTACCACAGTCCATGGGATCGCAAAGAGTCAGACATGACTGAGCATCTGAACTGAACAGAACAAGCAGCAGTGCCGTTTGGACTGTAGTTTTACCCATGCTGTTCCCTCTCAGAACTGTCCTTGTACCAGTGTCTATTTTTGGCCATTTGGACTAAAATATCCATCTATAGAGCTCTTAATTATCTTTCAGATATCAACAGATATGGGGTCTCTGGGAAGCGTTCCTGACACCTCTCCCTTACCACTGTGGTCCTGCACAGTGAGGTAATACAGCCTTAGCATTCTCTGGACTCTGACTACAGTACTCATTACATGGTATCCTCAGTGTAATGGCTTTTCCATCCTTGAACATCTGTAAGTGGACAGTCTCAACACCAAATACAGGCCTTGTGTAATACACTGAGAAACGTGAAATAGGACTATCACCTCCCTTGTTCTTGTTTTTACATCCTTGTAACTAAAGATGGCAAAGAGGTTTTGCTTTATTTTAGTTTTGGAGCCAACCCAAATTCCTATACTTTATCCCAAGGATTCTTCCTGAATCAGATCTTCCCTAATCCTGAATTTGTGAAATTTGAGAATTTCTCCTTGTTCATTTTGGCTTTTCATCCATCTTTACAAGATCTCTGTGGATTTTGAACTTGTATATAGCACAGATCCCCAGGTTTGGTGTTCCTGAAGTGTTAGTCACTCAGTCGTGTCTGACTCTTTGTGACCCCATGGACTGTAGCCTACCCCATGGACTGTAGCCCACCAGGTTCCTCTGTCCGTGTGACTTCCCAGGCAAGAATACTGGAGTGGGTTGCCATTCCCTTCTCCAGGGGATCTTCCCGACCCAGGGATCGAACCCAGGTCTCCCGCACAGCTTGCAGATTCTTTACCGACTGAGCTACCAGAGAAGCCCCTGATGCAAACTATTGGCTTTAGTAAATCTAGCCTGTCAGCCACCAGTTATTGGTGTCACAATTGGTGTTCATGGAGCTACACTGTATACTTGTGAAGGCTGTACCCTCCCCCATGACCCCTAGCTGGAGCCTGAGTTGTGTGTGTTTTTAGTCTCCCAGTCATGTCTGACTCTTTGTGACCCCATGGGGTGTAACCTGCCAGGGTCCTCTCTCCATAGAATTCTCTAGGCAAGAATACTGGAGTGGGTTGCCATGCCTTTCTCCAGGGGATCTTCCTGACCCAGGGATCAAACCCAGGTCTCCTGCATTCCAGGCAGATTCTTTACCACCTAGCCACCAGGGAAGCCCAGCTAGAGCCTACAACCAACAAAACACAGCAGCTTCCTCTCCTTTGAAGGCCAGCTCTGAACAGTTCTGTTAGCTGTCTTTATTCTCAAAGTCAACCAAAAGATACTCTCTCATAACATTGGACACACAGTAGGTGCCCAAGAAATGTTAGTTTCCTTTTACCCCATATGATGATCTCAATATCTTCTCATTACACATTAATTCAATGAAGAAATTATGGTCTATAAGATACAAAGATTTTAAAAGTACATTGACTTCATCAAAAGAAAAAAATTAAAAAGAAGTGCCTTCTTCCCAGAAGGAGCTTAAATTAAGATATAAACAAACAAGTAAACAATGATAAGATGCTGTAAACAAGTGTTACATAGTCACTCCTTCCAAATTTTTGAAAATTCTTTATGTAATTAGTTTCCTGTGATATTTTAGAATGTAGTAGTATCTCAGTCCTCCTGGGGATAACCATAAACAGAAGAAGCATTTGTACCAAAATAGCCAGCAGTATAAAATCTGCTGGCAATGCAGGAGATACGGATTCTATCCCTGAATCAGGAAGATACTCTGGAGAAGGAAATGGCAACCCACTCCAGTATTCTTGCCTGGGAAACCCCATAGACAGAGGAGCCCGGCAGGCTGCAGTCCATGGGGCTGCAGAGTCAGACATGGTTGAGCGATGAACCACAACACAACTGCTGCTGCTGCTAAGTCGCAACTACCCTACAGTCCTAGGTAAGAGTACTGGAGTGGGTTGCCGTTTCCTTCTCCAAGGGATCTTCCCTACCCAGGGATCGAACCCAGGTCTCCCTCATTGCGGGCACACGCTTTACCATCTGAGCCACCAGGGAATCCCATGACAAGCACTACTCATGTACAAAGACACGCCAATAGATGTCTCGGTGTCTCATTAGAGTATTTCCAGAAATTATCACAGAGTTTTAACATAAAAGATGGAGGCCAAACAAAAACAACACACCTACAAAACGAGTTAGAAAACACAAAACCAATACGAGGAGCCAAGATGGCGGAGGAATAGGATGGGGAGACCACTTTCTCCCCTACAAATTCATCAAAAGACCATTTGAACGCTGAGCAAACTTCACAAAACAACTTCTGACTGCTAGCAGAAGACATCAGGCGCCCAGAAAAGCAGCCCATCGTCTTTGAAAGGAGGTAGGGCAAAATATAAAAGATAAAAAGAGAGACAATAGAGTTAGGGATGGAGATCCATCCCGGGAAGGGAGTTGTAATAGAGGAAGTTTCCAAACACCAGGAAACCCTCTCACAGGCGGGTCTGGGGGAAGTTTTCGAAACTCGGAGGGCAATCTAACTGGGAGGAAAAATAAATAAAACCCACAGATTACATGCCTAAAAGCAACTCCCAGCAGAAAAGTACCCCAGACGCCCACATCCACCACCAGCAAGTGGGGGCTGAACAGAGAGGAGCGGGCGGCATTGCTTAGGGTAAGGACCAGGCCCGAATGCCCTGAGGGCAATAGGAGGGAGCTGACTGACGTGAGACAGCAACTTAAACTGTGGGATAGCAAGAGAGAGAGAGAAAATTAACCGGTCCAAACACACTGCCGGCTGTTCGCAAAACAAAGGGACTGAGCAATTCCAGACAAGAGCTAGCTGGCAGTAGACCGGACCATCCCCCGCCAGAGGCAGGAGGCAGGAGGGAGGGGAAAAGGGCAAACTCGGCCCCAGAGATGGCGTCCCCTACCAAACTGCAAACAGGCCTCCAGTTTCTAACCAAAGACTTCCTGAGATTCTGGATGGTCGACATCCGCCGGGAGGGTCGCAGCTAGAGGCCAGCTCCTGAGAATAGACACAAGGCGCACACACCCAACTGGCATGGGCGGAAACTGAGGCTGGGGCCGCGGG